GCACACATTAAGTTGTGCAAAGTTGAATACCCCTTGATCAGCTCTCTAAATGTTTGATCAATCATCTGAATGATTTCCCGAGCAATAATATTGATGCCTCCTTTTTTTAAGATTGTGAACCAACGGGAATTGAGAACTCTGGAAGAATCTGCACGAATCATGAGATTGACTGGATGTCTGGATAATTCATAAAAATATGGAAGATTCCATATAAGAGATGGTCCATTAATTATGTCACGCAAATTTGGCCCATTTTCAACCCCCCCTTCCCCCTTTGTCACATTTTTTATAAGAACCTTATTTTTTTTTGTATGGCTCGTCACAGTTTTCAAAACTCCCCCTCCCCCTAAATGTGTGACATAATCAATGGACGACCCCTAAATCTGGAAGGTTGGCGACGCTGTTTCAAACACACATTCTTTTAACGCCCATTACGAAACGTACACTCACAGAACGGAAGGGGAAGTGCAAACAAATCGGTGAACCAAAAGTGGTTCGTTTTTCTGCTCAACAAGCGATGTGTTGTGGTAGCGTTCCAGGCGGGCTTTCTATGTGCACTCACACTATCATAGCATGCTGCCTTTCTTAACTGCAGTTAGAAAATGCCTTCTACCGCTAGGTGCGCTAGTGTTCACAAATGACAAGTGCAGCCACTTTCTGATCCGAAGTTCCACTTCTGTGGTACACTGATAAATTAAACTATTCCCATTTTGCTTGAAATTTAGTCAATTTGACATCAAACTCAGTTTAATCATATCGAATCATTTAAAATTAATACTCTCTTTCTTAAAAATAATCATCTGATATTAAACCCAGTTTAATCATGGTTGATAAGATTGAAAATTATCTTTTTTGAATAAATTTTAATCACTTTTGTTTCTATTTTAATAATTTTGATTGAATTTTAATTTTTTTTTTTGATTATATATTAATATTTAGAAATAATAAAATTTAATGCTGGAAAGATTATTTCAAATTTAATCATGCATGACTACTGCCGAAGTAATCATGGCTTGGACTCAATAATGTGAAGCGAGAATCTGCATACTTTTTAAGCTTTTTAGATTTAATTTATCTTTGAGTGTAGGTATTCCGTTCTTCTCGTCCTTCAATGCTTTGTATCGTCCTTATCGTATTATGGAAGTCGTTTAACGTGCTGTGTCGATAAAAACATAGGGCGCACGATGCGAACTGGTAAGTTGCATGATGAAGTAGAGCCGAAGATGATATATATATACATGTGTTAATGAGATTTTTTTATATGACTTTCTCGATTCCGATCAAGCTATGTCCTCAAAAGTGTATGTGTATTGCAACAAAGCACGCAATCAATATATCATTATCCTTCTTCAACTCCGATAAAGCTATATTTTAGAGAGAGAGTTTATCGTGGTTCCGGGTTTTATATCAGCAATTCCATAGAAAAAAGTTATAGTGGGTCTCAGAATTTCATGAAAATTGGTATAGTTCTTCCTTATCAAAAAAATATTAGACTCATATTTTTTTATTGCGCCATTAGGGTGACCATTTCCGTGTTAGGGTGGTCTAAAAAATCATTTTTTTTTCAAAAATGTCTTTTTTCAAAAATTTATAACTTCTGAACCTCTTGACCGATTTTTACAATTGACCCTTCAAATGAAAGATGTTTTAATGTTGTTTTATGAAAAATTATGAAACACTCAGAGATATTTGATTTTGTAGGAAAAAAATATGTTACAAATGCTTTTTCTTGATTTTCACTGCGAGGGTCTTCAACAAGTATTTTAGTATTTTTAATTGAAAGATCATTTAATTTTACATAACATATCAAAGAATTTGCGATGTCGGAGAAGCAGTTTTGGAGATTCAATTTTTTTTAAATAAAAAATTATTGTTCCGCAATATATGCACCACACGTGCATGGAAACGATGAAGACGCAAGGTAGTTCACAATGCGTCTCCATCGAGTCACAGCAGCTGTGACTAATGAAATCTATGAGTAACTTACAAGCTGGGTGCAACATTCAGTTCAGCCTGGAGGCTGTCCATAAACCACGTAGACCAATTTTTAAACATTGCAGATCCTACCTTTCCCTTCGTATACTCAAATTTTAAAGCGTTTCGTTTCAATACTCCTCCCATAGGGCCTTTTCCATGACAAGTTGCGAAAAAATGCCACACGGCAGCAATGCCAAAATTTTTTTGCATGTTGCATCAGTACCTAAGAGTCCAAGCTGTACCTCATAGGTATATCACTCGTTCGTAGGCAATGACTTTTACATAAGCTCCAGCCCAATAGGCTTCGCGGTGTTAGTGACATTTGGAAATGTTTGGTGGTGTTTGTATTTATTCGCAATATTCATCTATTTACCTGAAACAGCTGTTTGAAGTGACGTCATTGCTTACGAACAGGTGATATACCTATGAGTTACAGCTTAGACTCGTAGGTATATCACTCACTCGTAGGTACGATATAATGCTTCACATAAAACAACGAATGTTATGAAACAAATGATCAGTTAGAAATCGTTCGAGGTTCAGAAGTTATAAATTTTTGAAAAAAGACATTTTTGAAAAAAAAAATGATTTTTTGGACCACCCTAACACGGAAATGGTCACCCTAATGGCGCAATAGAAAAATACGAGTCTAATATTTTTTGATAAGGAAGAACTATACCAATTTTCATGAAATTCTGAGACCCACTATAACTTTTTTCTATGGAATTGCTGATATATTTTCAGGGTAGATAGGGCTCCTAAAGTTATGAAAAAATCCGCATGAAACATAGGGTCGGAAATGACTGCTAAGTGAGTTAATCAACATGTTATGTTTTCTTTTATTGCCAACTTTGGTTAGCTATATTTTTTTTAACCTTAATGTGGTTTTCTGATTTCATCATACCAAATGAAAGATTAAAGTCTTAGCTATCAATTCTCTTTTGAAAAGAACTCGTTTAAAGTTAATTATCATACATTAAAATTGAAAAGTATGTTGAAAGTACCAAAAATAACTGGTGAAATTTCATACATTTTAGTGTTTTTAAGTTGAAAATTTTCATTACTGTTAATTTAGTTGTTGTACAAAACATTCTCCATGCAGTTCCCTAGATTTGTGCCTTACGTAGTAACTGGGTAGGCTTTATGGTGACTGCTGACGATAAATAGAGAAAAATTGGCTATAGGCGATTTGTCGATCATAAATGTCGCCTTCCCTCGCAAGTGAATCCGCCTTCTCATTGCCCAAAGTTGAGCAATGCGAAGGGACCCACGGGAAGGTGATGATGAAAGAAAGAGAGAGAAGTAGGTAGTTATAATTGGCGTTGACGGCACCGTCGAAAAATTGTCTCTTCTAGAAAAGATTGACCGTTTCTTATGGGATTTTTCGGTGGAGTGAAAGGATAGTACGAATTCCGTCATGTTTCACGCACAGTCTGACGTTTTCTTACGGATTTAACCATAGGAGTAAAGAGCTACAGACAGGCCCGTAGCCAGGATTTGGTTTCGGGGGGGGGGGGGGGCTAATTTTATGACATAAAAACTCCGAAGCTTAATAAAATGTGCGCATTACTGAACGTCGAATGATACAGATTCACGATACATATTAGACCTGTTCATTTTAAACGAAATGTTCGGAATGTAACGGGTCAACCGTGATTACTGTTCGTCATGTTAATTTTAACTTTTGTGCAAATTTTCAGCAAAATCGATGATGATTTAGAGGTGCTTCAAGTTAATTTTATGTTTTTAAGGTAATTTACGGCTTACAATATTTGTATCTCGAGACTGAAATAACGAAAACTGCTGTAACAACTTTCATAGCAAAATTTAATTTGTCATGTATCAACTTTGTAACCAAAGGTTGACTATTCGAAGTGATTTTATTGAAGTTTGACTTAGTTTCATGCTCGAAGATATCTTAAAATGTGAAGAATTTTAAAGTATTTGTTCTACGAATTTTCCACCCATATGATATAAAAATGTGTAGTGTACGGCATAATGTTCCTCATATTGTTCTAGAAGTTTCGTTCCAACATAGTTTTCGTGTATATTTCATAGATTGAGAGATAAAAATCAGAAAAGAGGCCGTTTAGCTAAAATTCACAAGACAACAGAACCAATAAAAGTCAATTAGATTGACAGAACATAGTTGCATTGCTTTTCAATGACGACCGATGACTGTTTCATTGATATATGATTTTTTCATAAATATGAATCCTCAGTAGACGTGTTTTTTATCAAAGGCAAGTGTCACTCGAGCCATTCAAAATGTTCGTTATTTTATAAATTGCTGTTATGGTTCGAGTGACACTTGCCTTTGATAAAAAACACGTCTACTGAGGATTCATATTTATGAAAAAATCATATATCAATGAAACCACGCTGGTAAAATCACCGAAATAACAGGTAAGTTTGTCAAGTTGGGATGACTCTCCAACATTTGTAAAACCAGGCAACAATAATTGGAACACCGGAAGGATGTCACAATTTTGTGTGAAACGTTCCATCATGTTTTGGATCAATCCATCGAGACATGGAATGAAAATCGCTCTTCGATAGTATTCCTCTGGTGTTTCTGCTGGTTGGTTTGCGCATATTGTTAGTTTGCATGCACGTGGAATCGTAATTGCGCTATCGAAAATAGACGTATGCAGCTTTGATGCTGCATTGAAAATTTCAGCAAATTTTGATTCAGCGTCAGCTCGTCTCTCCTTGAAAACCTGTACTTACTACTCGCATGATTAAGAGCCGATATGAGGTCCACAGATTTAGATTGTAATACTATTGAAAGTGGTAGTGTAATACTTAGCAAGGATTCACAAACAATTAATGAAATCAAAAATCCTGATTTGTCCATAGCTGCCAAATAAATGGAAGAAGTTGCTGAAATTTTCCAGCTTTTCTCTGCAATAATCTCTAGGCTTTCACAAATTCATTCAAAATGCTCAAGGAAATTTATCACGCTTTCATGCCGTTCGATGAATCGTGTTTCACAAAGCCGAATTAATCGTCGCTTTTTTGTGTCAGGCATACGTGTCGATATTGTTTCCTGTAAGACTTGCCTTGAAATAGTGCCTAAGCAGTTCCTGATTTGTGGGATATTCAACGAATTTGAAAGAGCAAGATTAAGCCTATGACTGGCGCAATGCACATATCTAGCCATAGGATACTGGTTTCTGATTCGCGTTTGTACTCCACTCAAATGACCGGACATATTTGCAGCTCCATCATATCCCTGCCCTACGCACTTGGTCATATCTAGTCCCAAATTGGAACAGCGATGCAAAATAGTCGATGCTAAATTTTCCGACGATTGATCCCCAATGCTCACAAATCCCAAAAAGTCCTCCCGAATGACAGGTGATGACTTAGCCGCATGCACGTATCTCACACATAGTGATAGCTGTTCTAATCCAGAAACATCCATGGTTTCATCTGCCAAAATAGTGAAGCATTTAGCAGAATTAACCTACTTTGACTATATGTTTTAGTATTACTTCTACGTGAAGTCAACGATTTACATAGTTGAAGATGCTAATTTCAAATAACAGACTGTAGTGGTAATTTTTATACGATAGATGGAGTAGATGAAAGCATAGAGTTGATAGTTCCGTTAGAGTACGGCAGTGTGAAGATTGCATATAGATATTAGAATAGCGAGCTAGAACAACTTTTAAGGAAGGTACAAATCGGTTTTTTCATCTCTCTCACCCCTCACCATCCCTCTCCAAAGGGGGAGTTTGGTAAAGAGAGATGAAAAAACCGATTTGTACCTTCCTTAAAAGTTGTTCTAGCTCGCTATTCTAATACAGCAATTCCATAGAAAAAAGTTATAGTGGGTCTCAGAATTTCATGAAAATTGGTATAGTTCTTCCTTATCAAAAAATATTAGACTCGTATTTTTTTATTGCGCCATTAGGGTGACCATTTCCGTGTTAGGGTGGTCCAAAAAATCATTTTTTTTCAAAAATGTCTTTTTTCAAAAATGTCTTTTTTCAAAAATTTATAACTTCTGAACCTCTTGACCGATTTTTACGATTGACCCTTCAAATATAAGATGTTTTAATGTAGTTTTAAGAAAAATTATGAAACACTCAGAGATATTTGATTTTGTAGGAAAAAAATATGTTGCAAATGCTTTTTCTTGATTTTCACTGCGAGGGTCTTCAACAACTTCTTATTTTAGTATTTTTAATTGAAAGATCATTTAATTTTACATAACATATCAAAAAATTAGCGATGTTGGAGAAGCAGTTTTGGAGATACAAAATAAAAAATTATTGTTCCGCAATATATGCACCACACGTGCATGGAAACGATGAAGACGCAAGGTAGTTCACAATGCGTCTAAATCGAGTCACAGCAGCTGTGACTAATGAAATCTATGAGTAACTTACAAGCTGGGTGCAACATTCAGTTCAGCCTGGAGGCTGTCCATAAACCACGTAGACCAAGTTTTAAACATTGCAGATCCTACCTCCCCCCTCGTATACTTTACTAAAATTTTAAAATATTTTTACCGAGCGTATACTGTGGCTGGACTCCCCTCCCCCATTGAAGTCTTCGTGGCTTTAAAACAGGCCCCAGTTTGACATTATTAATTTTGGTATCAAAATTCTGGGAGAAGTACTTAAATGCTACAAATAATGACGAGGTCGAAGTAAATAAGTAAAACATGAAGCATTTATTTTCTTTAATTACAATTTCACACATTTTTCTTCCGTTGAAAATGAATACCGTTTGACAATAATATACTTTTCGTTTTGAGGCTTAAAACTATGGAATGACTGTGTCCCCGAAATTTGGTTCACATGTATATAACGGTTTTTCAATTTTCTTTCCATTTTATTGTAATCGGATTCCGAAAAAAACTGATAGTGTATTTTTGAATCTGGCTTAGAAATAGCCCATGAGTAAAGTTCTTGGGCCGTTGTTATATGGTGGCCTTACAAACTCGCTTTCGCAGCGTTTCGTTTTAATACTCCTCCCAAAGCATCACAAGGGCCCTTTCCATGACAAGTTGCGAAAAAATTCCACTCGGCAGCAATGCCAAAATCTTTTTGCATGTTGCATAAATTAAAAGCGGTCATCTTATTTTTATATTGGCTTCCTGATCCATCTGAGAAAAAGTAAATCTGTTGTAAGCTTGGCAATTTACATTTTATGAACGCTAGACAATGCGTAAGAAATAAACGAACTGCGACATGATTATGTTTAGTGAAATCAGCAATTGCAATAAAACTAGTAAACTTCAAATCGTTAGATTCTTCGTCTTTAAAATAAATAGCACAAGGGTGAATAGTACATTGAGCGTTCGCCCAATGAAAGCCTTGAACTGCATCCTGCACAACGAAAGAATAATTCTCCGAAAAATCACAGATTATGATGCATTCTGTAGCTTTCAAATTGCTTTTGACGTGTTGACGTGTCTGTTGCTCAGCTATAAAGTTATGCGGCAATAAATTGAATAATTTTTCTAAAAAAGTATCAATAAATTCCTGTGTGTCCATTTCAACTAAGTCCATAATGCATCTCTCTACTTGACGCCATTGTTTGAATTGTATTGATGCAACATGTCCGTTACTAAGAATAGTCATTAGTTCTGTGGCCAAAATTTGCGTTCCTGAACAATTTTTGCAACACTGCAGCCAGCATTGTTCACTTGGATTTTGACAAATTATTTTTTTAAACAAATCGTGATAGGAATCAACACCATCTGGGAGTGATTGTCTGCTTTGTAGTGTTTTAAAAATAAGTTTAACGTTCTGATGATATATACAAACGCATACGGTATGCGTGCCACTTGTCCCTGCCAAAACGCAGTGTTTCGGACGGTTACTGGCGAACATGGAAAATCCTATTTTAATATCAGGATATGTATTTTTAAAGATGGAGTACGCCTCCTGCAAGTTACACAAAACTAATCTTCTTTGTACGTAGATTTCGCCTTCATCATTTTTAGATATTAAATAATCTCTTTTCCCCGGACAAACACGACTTATATCGTCACTATTGTAAAAATCACGAACAAGCATTATCGTTGGTTCTCCTAATGAAGCTCTGCTTAACCTCTTTACAGGCACCGACATTATTCCTTTCTCTTGCTGCAGTGCTTTTGCTTGGTTGGCCATATGTTGGGAAACATTGAACTCTTTCATAATTCTATATGTAGACCAACTTTTGGGAAGTGTGGTTAAAATCCTGTATCGGTCATTGCTGTCTCTTGTTTCTTTATATTTATCCTTAAGTTGTATAAGGAATTCATTTTCGTCCGACAAAGGTGCGTTGTAGGTGGTAATGATCGATTCAGAACTGGTTGTTTCCACTGATTCTGAAAATAAATATAAAAAATGATTGATTATTAGAAAAAAAAAAAATACAAATGATTATTTTTTCATTATTTACCTTGGCAGGGAAAAGGAACCACCCTAATATATAAATAGTCACCCTAATGGCAAAATAAAAAATACGGGTCTAATATATTGCGATAAGGAACAAAACTGCCAATTTAAACACAATTCTGAGAATTACTATATCGTTTCGCTGTATACAGACAAAAAAAGTGGAAACTATTTTAAAACAGATAGCAGTAAATTTTTATTTAACTTATTTAACCCCAAATAACCTTAAAATTTCGAAAAAAAAAATCTTATTATTGCAGGCAACCTTTGGGGTCATTCAAACAATCGCATCGTTCAACATTTTTATGAATTAAAATAAATTTAGCGAGGGTTCACTTTTACCCCTTACTTCCCTATAAAGTGTACCCCGTATTCCCCTAATATCTCATGAACTGTTGTTTAAAGGCATAGTATTCTAAAACCATGCATAAAGTGCTTATGTTTTACGAAAAATAGAGCTGTGAAAAAACATTTCCTCCAAAAAGTAGGGGAAAATGGGGTAAAATGGTCCAAAACACATACCTACAAGGCTCTCCAGTCTATTGGACCACGTGCAATCGATTCCCCGGATGATTTCCCTTCGGAAAAGTTGTTTTTCATGACCGGAATTCAGCGGGCTGTTGAGATATTGAATTTTGGGTAATTTTGGACCCATTTTTGCCCATAGTGCATTGTTGGCCTATCGGGCAAAAAATATCTAGTATATCTATGATTTCGGCGTTAATGAGTCAGTTACACGTTTTAAACGAGGGGGAGGGGGCTATAGGGCTGAAGCCCTCTATAGAAATTATTTTAATATAATGTGGAAAAAAACCTTATCCAGATAATGGATATCTGTAACAAATATCCATTATCTTGGGCCAGATTTTTTTTTCACATGATGATAATAATTTCGGGGGGGGGGGGGGGGCTACATGCCTGGCTACAGAGTCGCCGTCAACGCCAATAAGTCGATGTTCCTTTTATTTCATAGCACTTGCAGCTCAGCTGCGGTGCTGTTTCGATGGAGTGCAGGTCCGCTACTTCTGTATACACACTTAGATTTTTTTACAGGAGTCAGTTTTTCTTTACTGGATTTTTGGATTACTGAAAAACTCGGTTGAAATTCAAGTTACTGTTATTCGTAAAGATAGGATAAAATCGACAAATTTTATTTTTCATCATTACATGGGGTTAACAGAAGTAAGTCTGGAAACTTTCGTAACACATTTTCTCAACTTTAAATTTTTCACAGATTTTTTTAAATTCTACCGAAGAGTTCCGCAATTCAAAAACTCAGTAAAAATTACTGACTGGAAGTGAAGGATACATTTATTCATACAAACAGGCCGCCATTACCGAGCATGGAAAGCTGGATAGGAGCGTATGAATATTTACACTGATTGTTCTCAAAACAAAGAAGCGCTCTTAGCAAATCCATTTTTTTTCTGCGTTAATTCGTAGAACGAACAAAAACCTAGAAAACCGATGGCATATGAAAGCGTTAGGACGGAATTGAAACTAGTAGGACGAATTTGGAACCAAGTATCAGTGTTAGATTTCTAACAATATCTCAACAACTTGTGACCATTTATCAAACCCAACTCGTTTAGAAATGTAAATAAATTTTGAAGTCATCTATTTTAGAATCACTCTATTTTTTGGTTCAAATCAGTTCGAAAAAAAGAGATTAAGTATGGGTTGTGCAAATAGGAAGGAAATAAGATCAAAAACCCTGTACTGATAACAAAATATCATGCAAGCGTTCAATCTTTCTAACCATTTTTCAAAGTAACAGTTACTTCGCCTCAAGCTGTACATATTCACTGATTGCATAACGGCAACCATATCGAAACTCTCGTAACTGATTTCAACAAGACACTCGATCGTATTAACATACCTAAGCTACTTTTCGAATCGCAATAAATATGGAAATTGGTAGTTCTACTCAAATGGCTCGAATCATATCTAACTGATCGGCAACAAATAGCTACATTGGACGGAAAGGCATCTAATGCTATTCAAATCACTTCAGGAGACCCCTTAGGCTCTCGTTTAATTTAATGCATAAACGTCATTTCCTTCATTCTCAAAAACACTAAACTTCTAATTTATACGAACGATATGCTGCTCTTTTAGAAAATATGGAACAAAGAAGGACATTCAAGAATGGAAAACGCATACCTACTCTGTAATTGGGATAATACTCCTTGGGAATATTCAATGCCTTTGCGTACTGTGTGCTATGAAAAAATCGTCATTCGCCTCAATGACTTTTGCTTACTCCACAAACCATAAATCAAATCAAACTATATCAAACGAAGTACCGGATCCAATCTGAAATCATAATCTTTGAACGAGCACTGCTAGTCCTTTTCAACATCGTCAAAAGCCTACCGTAGGCACACATACGACCGAAAAAAAAAATACATGAGCAACAATCATATCCAAGCCTAGAAGGAAAAAATCCTTCCTAGCTGCAGAGTACTTGACGAGATTTTGCTTCTTGCTTCCTGCTTTCTTCTGAATAGAAACGACTCCCTGGTGGGAGATGTTTTTGAATTTCAAATAGCTCTACACAATTCGCAGCAAATTGACTTCGGAAAACTAATGCTCCTCAAAACGAATGCATAAATTTCATAAAAAGAGAGAAGAGAGACATACACTCACACACGTCGAAAGGGTATATGCTGGCAGAATGTGAACTTGTGCAGAACGGCTTTCTTATGAAGTTTTGTATGTGTGTCTGAATTCTGGCATCCACGTCCACTTAGGGTCTGTTAACAAATTACGTAGTGCAAAAATTTACAGTTTTATAATCCCCCCTCTAATCAAACATAACACATTTACCAATACCCCCTCTCCCCCAAGCGTAACACGTAACAATGCAAATGTTCTCAAGCAAGAGACGACGCGGATCGCATTTATAATTACCGTAAAACGGGGTAACTTTGATAATGCGTGTGACTTTGATAGTATAATATGATGATTAAATTTACTCTCTGTAAAACCCACGTATGGGGCCTCATAGCCTAGTCAGTAAAGGCACGGTATTACCAAGCCGGAGGCGGCGGGTTCGATTCCCGGTCCGGTCGAGGGAATCTTTCGGGTTGGAAATTTTCTCGACTTCCCTGAGCATAGAGTATCATTGTGCTTGCCACACAATATACAAATTCATGCATTGGTATTGGCATCGAAAGCTCTCAATTGATAACTGTGGAAGTGCATTTAGAACACTAAGTTGAGAGCACGCAATAAGCTAACATGCGCTAAGCAATAAGCTTGAAATGCGAATAAGAAGAAGAAGAAGAAGAAGTAAAACCCACGAGTGTTAAAGTGACAATAATTGAAAAAAAAATTACTCTCTGTTCATTTTTGAAATTGAAAACACTGGTTCCATATTGTAGCTAAGGGTGTTGCCCTTGTTATCGTGTAGAGTTTTTTTATGTAGTATGTGCTAGATAATTTCCAAAATAAAGTGTTTGTTTCAATTCTAATAAAATATCCAAAGTTGAAATCAGTTAAATGTACTGAGGTTAACTAAAATCGAGCTTATTTTTATTTTGTAATACTTGTTTATTTTACATTCATTACATTTTATATATTGCATGACTAGTAAATTATTTTTATTTCACATATTTAAATATCATCGTATCATTATAACTATAATTTTCATTTACAGAAAATAGTTGTCCTGCAGATCCTGAAGGAGCAGAAGGTGTATCAATTAGCAAATCATTGTTATACAAATTTTATTTTATTATAATATAACATGATCTATGGTTTGCAGAATTTGGATTACCCAGAGAATAAATTGAATATCATCATACATTAGGCCAATGTTAATTGTTTTACCTTGGCAGAGTTTTTCTATTTCAAGAATTATTCATTGATACTTGTTTTTATAACTCCTGTATGCTCAAATAACCTCGATTATTTAGCAAATTGATTTTTTACTTAAATTGTGGATTCATTAAATAGGCAAAGTTGAGTTCAATCATACCATGCAATTAAATTATTCATATATAGCTTGAGATTAAATGAATTGCCTTACTGCAAGCGAGGTTGTTTGTATTTTGTTATATTTTATTATATTAATTATATATCGACGAGAAGGATCAGGAATGTTGACGTCTGTGTTTAAAGGGTCGAAGAAAGTCTACGAAAAGGCCAGTTGCTGTTGGTGCAGCTCCAGATCATTCCTTTTTATTTATTTATACAGTAACCCCTCCCTATCGTTAGGATGTCAATTCAGCTTATCGTTTACCAAAACGAACCCTGCTGCAAATCCTACCCACTTATCCAACATCCCAGTGATTCCTCGTGGAAGTGCAGAGGATTTCTCGACTTTCATCAAAGCGAGTGTCACTTCAACACATTCCTATCCATTCCTTTCTTGACCTGCGGTCGGCGCTGGTATTGCCTAGTTAGAGATCACCAGTGTTTACACATTGAGGATGATTGCTAGTCCCAAGCATCGTCTATTGGTTATCTGTGTAAGTACAGCTGATCTGGCAATAACTCATATATTATATATATATTATATTAGTCATATTAACAAATAAAACGATTGACGAATCTTGAATGTGGATGGGCCTGAGATTAGACTCATGATGTACTGCTCAGTAAGCAAAAACGGTTGCTCTAAGGCCACCGAGCCCCTCATATCACATAATACCGTTGCTTAAAATTTGTGTATCCATTCAAACCCGGAACCAACGACAACAACGAGTTTCGCAAAATACACGATATACAAGCGATTTTACCATAAATCTCTTTGATATGTAAGGACCTGGGACCGCTTTTTTCTGCTCAGTAAGCAGGCCACTGTAACCGACGATCTTTCAAATCCGAAAACTAAAAACTACGAAAAAGTACTTAGGCCTTCATTAAGTTCCACTTTCACGCGACGTTCAATGACAGGATCCTATCCAGGATTACATCTGAAAAATCCAAATCTGGCCAACGCCCACCTAAACCTGTTCTAATCCACCTGAAATGACTATCGATTGGAAGACTTTGACTACCCAGCCATGCAATAGTCTCATTCCGTGCCTTATGGCAACTTGATGATTCTATTGCGCTCATCTTTTGGCACCACCCAGGGGAGACTTGGTCCTGTACCCAATGCTTAACTTATCTCCATTCCACTCAGCTACTCGCAATTTCTTGTGATATAGTGGGCGGAATATTATTATATGAGACAATTCAATGCAGACGTCTTTCCAAATTTGGAAGATCGACAGGTAATCGGTGAGTTACCACGATAGTTGCTATTCAACAACTCGACAACGTCCCATCGTCAACGCCTGCTATGAGAATTTCCCATTGCAGACGTCAACGAAATGACGTCATCGAGCTATCGATCAACTACCCTGGTTATCGCCTGGTACCTTATAGCACGATGCTAGGAGGCGAACCGGAAGAATCGATGAGCTACCTCCCCCCCCCCCCCCTCCAAATTTAGGTCAATTATACGGTTAAAAACCGAGAGATCCTCCTCACCTCCACGATTTTTTTAAAAATAGTTTTTCAACAGGATTCACTTAAGGGAGAATTGATTCTTATCGCTAAACCACTCAATTGTGACACATCGTAAAAGGTCTCGATTTTGGCTACATAGATGAAGTACCGTCAACTTTCCACAACTCAATGTCCACTAATTCGATATCGAGTTGTATAACCATGATAAAAATGAGTGTCATGGCTACTTCGGTAGCGAATTTGTATGGGATTGTTATTTTATAACACGATAATTCTACAACTCGAGTTGGAGAGAGTGCACTTTAGTTACGTTTCCAAAAATGAAATCTGGCTATTCTGAGATTATATTACATTGGGAATGTTTGGAATCACTTTAGAAAAAATCAGAATCACTTCAAAAAGTACTGCATAACTTGAAAAAAGCTTAGGATCACTGTTCGAGCGAGATAAGTGGAGAAATATCGATGCATGTGCATTTTTCTCTCTACTTCTCTCACCGAGCCGAAGTGCCAGTATACTCACACTACCACTGTCTGATTTCCCTCGATCACTGGTCAGCTATGCAGTACATAGAGCAGTATATCAACAGAATTAAATAAGCCGTCGCGCTTTACACATCGTCGGAGCGCATTTGATTATCCGCAATAAATTTTCGTTGTAGTGTTCGCGTTAGGAATACAGTGTTTTAGTTTTCGCCTAAATAAACTGTGTTTATGTTGTAAGCGTGATTATTCTATGTTGTGTCCGAAAAGTCGGTTTTACGCGCGAACAATCACTTTGGAAAGTACTGAACCATTTCAGAAAAAAAAATGCACGTACAGAATAACTTCGAACAGCATTGTACTTTAAAAAAGTTTTAAATCACTACGGAAAAAAATTGGAAACACTGGATCCGTGTATTCAGCTCATAACATATTTAATAACTTCAGAAAAGCTTGAGTTCAGTAGGGAAAATGTTGAATCAATCAAAGACACTTCCGAAAGTGTTAAATGTTCGGGACTGATTTAACACTTTCGGCAGTCATGTCACGAGTTCTTGGGAACATCCAACACAAGAACCTGATATAAACGTAAAAACCTGGCACTGAAACAGTAAATGTATTGCCTATATAACGCAGCATCAATTGTAACAGCACAAACATCTCTGGTCGTTATTTCAAAGATTTGCGTAGCGACGATTGCGTTATTGACACACACACACACACACACACACATGCTCGAGGAGTTTGGCATTCCACTTTTGCTAAAAGTAGCAAAGGTTGGGTTCATGAGGTTTCCTAGATAAAAGTTTCCTTTACGAAAGTAAGGTTTGCATTATTCTACATATATTTTTATGATTGCTGTTCTTTTATGCTGGCTATTGATGTAACTATCTTAACAGCAGTCATAATTTATAACTACTCAAGATATCACAAATCCACCACCTCCAGCATAAATTGAACAGCAACGTAGAAACCAAGTTGTAACTGATTTGTAAATCGCCAGAGGTATTCTGAGTAAAACGCATAAAGCAAATCCATATTTATGATCTCTATTTTTTTTATTTTTGGTTTTCAACTATCATCATTATCCTAGTACATACTTGTGACTTAAGAAGCGGGCCTCGGAGAAACAAAAGTCCGTTGCGCCATTGCTTCCGGTTAGCGCAGTAAGGGCTTCATACTGCTGCGGAGGTTTTGGTTTGATAACATACTGATAGTTTTGGGAACTTTGTTTTACCCACGAATTGTTCAAGGTTTTTTTTTCAGAAATCTGCCACTGGTCCTTATACCAGTTTATTTCTACGTTCGGTGTCGGTGATATAGCGATCGGCATCAGAAACGACGGAGTGAAGTTGATACTGTGGCGCTCCGCCGGTCTAGTCAAGCTGGTTTCCACATCCATCTTCGGTTTGCACTTTCGGGCCGTTTTCTGTAGAGTTGAGCAAAGCTGGGGCAACTTTTTCCGAATGTATTTAACAAGAAGGAAATAAAAAGGCATCACACGCTAAAAACCAGTTACCCAAATCCTATATTGTTGAAATAAACATGATTTTGAATTTATTTCAAACATAAATATTTTAGTTTTAAACATGCTTTAAATTTACTTTGAATAATTCATATGTTTAGAGTATAAACATTTATATTTTTGTTTTAAATGAACAAAATTCGTATCCGTGTAAAAGGCAGTTTGTAAATGAGTCTCATACTGACTGGGATGATTGACTACCTTATTATGCATTTTACTACACCATGACTCTATGCACAGATATACCATATACCCCTTACGAATTAGTATTTGGCAAAATGGCTACATTACCCAATAACCTGAAATCCCAACACATATTGAACCAATTTATAATCATGACCAATACTATTCAGAACAACGATTCAAACCACAGACTACTACAATTAAAACAAACGTAAAGTTAACAGGATTAAAAATAAGAGACACGAAAAACAACAAGTCACAGCTAATCCAATGAAAATAAGAATTAATGATCTGGCAATGATAGAAAATGAAAACAGAAACAAATTAGAGAGTTTATATAAAGGACCATACCAAGTAACTAATATAACTCTACTAAATATTACTGTACTCGATGAAAACACAGACCACAAGAAATAGGATTATTAAAGTATAAGCTACAGTACCTTAATCGAGACATACAAAGATATAGGTACATTTTTTTAATATTTGTGAGACCTAAAGTCAGACAAAGCATCAATCCTTAAGACTAGTTACACCACTTTCATTTTAAGGGGGAGGTATGCCCCATAACTTTTCAACATAAATCAGCCAAGGATGAAATCAAACGCATCCTAAATATCCCCCTTTCTTTAACCATGGGCATTGTCATTCAAAGTGCCTACCCTATCATATTTCATACATGCAATTGCTTTCCTGCTTACCTATCATACGGTCATAAAGTATAACAATACTTTACTGATCTTCACCATTTTTGTTGACGCTGATGCGCGACACATTGTTTGGCTCTTTACGTTGACTACTGGCTTACTGTCTCGACTTTGAGTCATATGTCATATGGTGGGCAAACCACCATCCAAACAAATTGTATCACTTTTCTACACTCCTCCCATCCCCCTCTTGCGTTACGTAATTTGTGAACAGACCCACAGGTACCTCTTCGTACGTGGCAATCGTCATCGTCCTCTTGGTCATCGAGCCGGATCCAGGTTGTTGTTTGGTTTCCTGTTTGGCATGTTTTCGGTTCATGTCTGGCTACCCTTATAAAGTACACCAGACGGAAAACGGGAGGCAGAGCGTAAAATAACGAAAACATGGTCCTGAAAAGTTTCACGTATGAGAACGTGCTTCTTTTCGGTTCTTGTGTGCGAAAAGTACAATCCTAACAGTGAAAGGAAAGCGGATAGATGGCTTTTCTTTCGATTCCATTTTCCGCCTATTACTGTAAAAAACCGAAAAATGGATTGTTGGGAAAGTTTGATTGTAATTCTTTTGTACTGATAACTTTTGTGTTGCGAAGTTCGGTTGGAATTTTCTGCGCAGAGAATGAAGTCGTTTGTGCTGAATGATTTTCACACTCTGTGCATTGAAGTGTATTTGATCGTTTAGGACTTTCTACAGGCTATGGAAATTTTAAAACATCCATATTCATAATTCAATTTTGTTATCACAAGTACACTGATTGCCACAGCACTAAGGCATCTTTTTTCATGGCTATTTCGTCAAGACGTGAATCTTGCGTTCGTTCTAAGCTTAATGTTATTTGGGAACTCGATTACTTTTTTAGAAGGGACGTATCTGCTTTTGTAAGCAATGCATTTGATCGTCGGTTTGGCGTAACTGGTCGACCACGCTTAATAACACCATGATCAGGTAGTGGAAAAATTTTCCTATCTGATGTTATTGTTAGCATGTTTGGTCGAGCTACCAGTTACGCCAAATCAGACGATCAAATGCATTGCATTGCATCAGATTTTCCTAAAAATAGAGCAGGAAATGTACGACATTCATCTCATTGCTTCGTTTGTAGAATGCCGAAAAAGTATGTGCTTGATATACCAAGTTGAGGGACTAGTTTGCATCCCGTAACTCTATCTACACAAATAAAACCATGAGAATTTATTGGAAAATAAAGCCTTGTGCTATTCGGCTGGTCGTGATTTGTACCTATCCAACGTAATGGATTATATCGTGTTCTATTTGATCGTCTCTCTTGAATCCCGAGAACGGAAAGTCCGTTTGCAGCTAAAATGCCAGCGATGAATGGTAAACGCAAGGTCTGTTAAAGATATGGTGCTTATCACACCAAGGTCGATATACCATAGATGTAATATGCTACAAGTACGGTACAAGCAAACCAACAATGTATTACTTTGAATGTTACTTGCATTTCCTATCATCCTCCGCAAGAGGATAGGTGGATAGTTCCGTTAGAGTACGGCAGTTAACATCGTTAACTTCGCGTATGAAGTAACATAAAAACACTTTGAATGTAACAACTCAAGGCGGGAGTAGCCGTCAACAATGCTGATGATGGTACAGCACGCAACAACCACCCTACTGCTTTCTCTCTGAGATGATCACGTTGGTCATGACGTGAGGAGCAACACAATAGTTGGGTAAAGAAGAACTGCATTATAACACACCATCGACTGGAAATGCTCTCGCAACGTGGGGCTTTAGGTAGTGATGAAAACGTCGCTAGAACTATTCCACAGCCGCAGTCAGTTTATGAGCAACAAGAGGGACGCACATTTTTGCCTGTGGACTTGGAGACATACTTCAAGTCCCCGCGTACATCGTACGGGTTAGGCAAAAATGTGCGTCTATCTTGAAAAACTGTCGCATTAATGGCCCTTCGCTCATTTTCAACTTCTATTCAATTTTCATACTGCCGTACTCTAACGGAACTATCCACCTACCCTCTTCTAAAGATCATTCTCTAGCTAATAAATCATCACACTAAAGCTTTATGTTAGCATTTCCAACCAACTCTGTAAAATGTATTTCATGGAGAGAGAAGTGGAGAAATCACAGGTCTGTTAGTCGCATCGTTCATGGTTCGAGTCCCAGTCGGCATCGTTTTTCAATTTGTTTCAACATGATTCATTTTACTTTCTAATACGCTCCCCATTTTTCTTTGTCCATTTCCTTGCATTGGACCGCAGCTCGGTATATCTCATATTGATGTAATCGAAATCGAGGATACCGAAGACTTTATTTGTTGTTAACAAGTCCTTAGCAACGCTGTTGATTTCAAGTAACAAGTCGATACAATTTTCCATTCCAATTGTAACACTCCACTAGATCAGACCAATATAACAATAATTCTCGATGAACATTTCAAATGGTCCTATCTGCTTTGATCGATTCTCTTCATCAGTGCTGATAAAAATCCTTTCTTCTACACTCAATTTTGCTGAAAATGAAGAAAACCTTAAAAGATAGACCAACTACCTGCATGAATTTCAATTTTGATATAAACAAATTCCCTTGATCTAGGCAACCTCTGAGTATCAAAAATAACATTTGTTTTTTTTCATTCGTGGCTGGATTCTCATTATCGCCTCTGTTGTTGTAAATATTGATATCGTCTTCATCTTGGTCGGGATGATATTGAGGATCAAATGCAAATCATTTTAAACAAATATAGCGCTGAAGAACGTGGTTTTTAGACATAAGTCGACGGCAAATTATTGCCTCAAGCTGATCTGATGATAATATCGATGATTTAGGCAGTGTGGTCGACAATATTCAAAATAATCATTTTGCCCAAAATGTCGTTGATTATTTTGCTTTTGAGGATTGCTTCTGATTTTGACAATGTTGGGTTTGATAATCGAGCACTGGTGAATATCAACAAACGCGTATTCGTTGATGTATAATAAACTCATTTCGACAGTGAGCATTCATAAGGGCGTATACGCGATGATCGATTCTCTTCATCGATTTTCTCTTTGCATAGCTACAGCTAAGCGAAACAATTTTGTAGAATTTATTCAATGTAGAGTTGTAACAGGTTGCATTGGCCATCAAAAGCAACAGCAAACGCACCGACAAACGTAAAATCTAGCGAGTTATTAACGAAAGAGAAAATCGAAGAAGAGAATCGATCATCGCGTATACGCCCTTATGAATGCTCACTGTCGATTTGTTCATTTTGCTCGTTTCGTAACTACGAAGATGTTCAAAACAAACGCAATTCATCGACACTGGGTTGAAGCGATACTCCTTGCATGTGATAGTAAATGATAAAAACAGACACTGACTCTTCATAGACTTTCTCTTTTCATAACCACTGCTATGCAAACAGATTTCGCGCTAATTCTACCACATAGTTTGATAAAGGAGGTTCATATCTAGCGTCCAAAACGTCAAATACAACAGGGAAAGGTTTTGCAGCTGAGTTATTGACGAAAGAGAAAGTCGATTAAGAGAATCGATCAATGCAGATATGACCTTTTGAAATGTTTATCTAGAATTGTTTAATTATTGTTCCCGTTCCCAAACCACCGCGTTGATTTACTCTCAAGAGGTTATGGGCACGGAAGGAAACTGTCCACGGAATAATTCCGTTTTGTGGGACTGGATTTGAAAATTATAAGTTCCACGTGGAGAAGGACTTGAAGTCTGTCGAGCTATTGGATGCGATGACCAAGAATGCACCAACGGCTGCAGGACCTTTTGGATCTGATCCACGACAAGAATTCTGCCAAGGAAAACTGGACCGCATTGAAGAACGTCCGTATCCTCGCAATCTCTTGTTCGGAAGCAGCTGGCAAAACTCAAGATGATGGAAGGAACGTCGATCAAGGAACATCAAAAGATCTTTGATGAGCTCATTCGGCAACTCAAGTGTACTGGTGCGAAGCTTGAGGAAGGAGACATAGTCTCGCAGCTTTTTGTGACCCTGCCTAAACCCTATGATCCCCTGGTAACTGCGTTCGAGAATCTGGGTGAAGACCAGCTGACTCCAGATGTGGTTCGTGAACGTTTGATGCCCGAAAAAATAAAGAAAACCGACCGGATGGTGTATACTGGTAAAGAGAAACCTACTGCCTTCACAGGAGTCAAGCAGAATCCTAATAAATTCATTGAAAAATGATATAGGTGTCACAAGAAGGGCCATATTGCCAAGTATTGTCGGGATTAAACTGCAGGCAGAAGCCAACGTCGTAGCTGAGAATACTCGAAAAATTGGTTCAAAGTTTTGCACACTGTATCTCTACGGATCAGCATGGCTTCATGCCTAAAAATTCCACGACGACCAATTAGGTTACGTTCACTTCGTTCATCATTCATGAAGTAGAACGTGTCCATCAAGTAGATGTCATCTACACAGACCTCTCCGCAGCATTTGACAAAATGAACCATGACATTGCATTGGCTAAATACGACAGGATAGGTGTTCACGATGGCCTGCTTACTTGGCTCTACTCCTACCTGACTGGTCGAAACATGTCTGTCAAGATTGGAGACTAAGTTTCTTCATTCTTCCCCGTGACATCCGGCGTTCCCCAAGGTAGTCCAAAGGTAGCCATTTCTGTTTCTGTTGTACATGAATGACGTCAATACCATCCTGAAATGCCTTACACTATCGTATGCGGACGACTTGAAACTCTGCTTCGTGATAAAAGAACCAAGTGATGCCATTTTCTTGCAGCAACAATTGGAAGTCTTCGCTGAGTGGTGTCGTATTAATCGAATGTCACTGAATGTCTCGAAATGCTCTGTAATTTCCTTTGGCCGCAAGCGTTCGCTTCTTCACCATGACTACACCCTGACGGGCATAACTTTGAAACGAGAATCGACTATGAAGAATCTGGGAATACTAATCTCCAAGCTCAGCTTCAAGGATCATGTTGCATACGTAGTATCCAAAGTTTTCTCACAACTCGGGTTCATATTCCGCTTCGCCAAAAAATTCAAAGATGTATACTGCCTAAAAGCATTATACTGTTCGTTGGTGCGACCTATTTTGGAGTGTTCGACGGTCGTGTGGTATCCATACTACCAAAATGAAACCATGCGTATTGAAGCTATTCAACGGAAGTTCATCCGGTATGCTTTAAGGTATTTTCGCTGGAATGACCCTAGAAATCTGCCTAGCTAAGGAAGCCGTTGGGGCTTATTACGGATGTCACTTCACGGTGAAAACTTGTCACTTGTCGTCACGGTGAAGTGATTCCCATTTGATTTGCACGGCAATCACGGCTCTTATTCTGAGTATCACTTCCTTATCACCGTGT